CCTTTGAGCTGGTTTGGATTGGATATATGTAAGCTAAAGACTTTATAATAATTTAATTTTAAAAGACCATTTTGAGAATTCTAAATTTTAACTGTAAAGAACAGGATGGACTTTTTGAAAATAGAATTTCATTTCTGGTAGAATTCTAATAAAATTGAACGGCACAGAATAGCAGAGAAAACAGGCTGAATAAAAACAAAAGTTAAAACTCTAAACTTAAACATGTTCTGAGCATCTCCCACCACAATGACAAAGGAAATATAATTGTAGAGAAAGAATTACAACTCTAATGCACATATGCCTTCAAACTATATAGTCATAAGTTGAAGAGACTTCTGAGGGAAACCTGGGAAGGTACTGAACCAATGAAAGGGTGACAGCAATCAACTTTGAATCTAAACGAGCTTGAAAGAGGTGCGTTTTCCTGTAATTGAATGGAAATAGGAAGAAGAGTCTAACTCCAAAGTAAGCATCTCCCAAACCCCCCACACACATCCTTTCTGCTCCCTGGTTTACACATCAAGCACTTCACAACTCATTTGAAAGTCTTACCTCTAATTCCATGCCAGGGATTTGGGTCTCTATGAAAGGAGTGTCCATGCGGCCTGCTCAACCGTCTCAGCATGGACCTTGCCTAACTGCTGACCAGAATTTGGCTCGGCATCAGCCTGCTTAACTGTCTTGGTGTGGACCTTGCCCACAAGCTGGCTGGAAGCTGAGTTTCTGAAGCCTGCTGCCTGCGTCTGCCATTTCTGAGGGAAGTGGGGAGCAGAGGTGCTGTCCTTCAGACTTTCCTCAGAAAGCCAAAATAGGTGGGTTTCGGTTTTTTAGTTGAGCAGTTCTGAGGAGAAAAACTTCCAAGCCGACGAGATAACTGAAGGAAATTTAGTTAAAAATCTGTTAAAAATCCTGTGAAAGCTCTGGAGTCTACTGCATGTGCCTCTTGGAGGCAGAGAATTCTGTGGAACTCTTCCTAGGCAACGGCCCTAAGCTGCTGCTCACATCAAAGATCTGGTCTGCCTCCTGTTCACGAGGAGACGGAGAACACTATGGTGAAGACTATGACCTGGGGAATCTCAAGTAGGAGTAGAGAGTGTATGTGACCTCTGTATTTGGCACTGGTGTAACTGGTGCTGGAATTCTGTGTCCAGTTCCGGTGCTCTAAACAATCTGCTCTAGGAATTACTTCGGGCAGAGTTGTCTGACTTGTGTTATACAGGAGGTCAGACCAGAATCACAAAGGCTCCTTCTGGCCATGGAATCTATGAATCTGTAATATTGGGGGGTGAGAAAAGGTGAATCATTCAGGAACAACAGACTGAATGGGAATAAAGGCACTGCAGCTACAGGACACCAGGCACACCAAGGAGTACAAGGATGTTCAGAAAAGAAGCAGAACAAAGATGGCTGGACAGACATGAAAGCAAATGGAATGGTCCAGAGACACAAGAACATGATTAGAGTATGAGTGAAAGCATTTTCCTAAATAATGGATATCATATTCGGATGTTATGATGATGATGACAGATGTAGTGGAGAGAGAGAGAGCCTGGAGCACTGAGCCTGGTTTGAAACCTAAGGCCTGAACCAAAGGCTGTGAACCAGAGCTGGCCTGGTCTTGCCACAAATACACCACACTAGATATTGTGGTAAACCCAGGACAAACAGCTACAAAGGAGGGGGGGGGAGGGTAATTAGTCCTAGGGAGTTAAAAGGCCTTCCCTATCCACTGTGGAGAGATAACCACAGGGCAATAAGGTTCAGTTGGAAAAGGGGTTGCTAGGGAACCAAATTAGGTTCAGCTGACTCCAACTACTTGAGACCTTTTTAAACCCTCCCCTAGGTGGAGGGAGATGGGGTCTGAGGGAGTGAGAGGAGCAGGGAAGCTGTTAGTAGGCGGTTTGCAGCAAGACACCAAACCTTCCCAGTACGGAGGCTGCACTCCCTCCCCAGAAGGGAAAAGAAAAGAAGCACAAGGGACTGACTGAGGAGAGGAGTAGCAGGACCCTGTGCCACCTATAAGGATTTGCCTTGCCCCAAACCTGAGTCTCCAAGGCTAAGAAAGGACTGAGCCTGCTGAGGTGAACAAGGTATTTTGCCACAATATTTACATAAATACTTTTCAGAAGGCTAGTACAGATACACCCCAATCTAGTAGATCAGATGGTCAGACAGAACAATGAAGAGGGATGTTTTGTCCAAAATATCAGGAACAAACAGATGCCATAAAATATGTAAGGTGGTATGTAAGTTGTGTATCCCAGTTTTTTCGTCTCAGTCTATAAATGTTGGGTACCTCACCTTGGTCCTGTGTGCAGCACAGGGGACAGCAGAAAGTCCCACTGCTGACTGAGCCACTCCTTGCCTCTGGACATGCATGTGTTTGTGAACCTGTAAACACAGAGCCAGGGCTCTAGGACTGTGCTTTCAGGGCAATAAACCTGGCCAATGGCCTTTGTCACCAAACAGTGCCTGAGGTCTTTCTTCATGAGTAAATTGAGGTCAGCTAAATTAACATGCTGCACTACTTGCTAATACTAGTAATGTTGATGCTTCATGAACAGAAGTGTGGAGCAGCCTGAACAGCATTACCAAGGCAATGACATTCCAGCCTTCAGCACTTAACAACAACATGGTACAGTTAAACAGAGACGGGGGTTGTGCAGCATCCACAACAATTCACATGGAAACAGTATATTTTTAGGTCTGTCTGTCTATCTATCTATATATATATATAAATGGGTTTACACACTGAAGTGCGACTCCTTTTGGCTCTGTGTGGGAATTAGCCAGTCCTTACTTTGTGCCAGGGCTTGCCAGGGCTGAGCCCCAATAGGTCTAGGCTTGGCAGTTCATACCCCTGGCACCTTTGGGCTTGCTGAGTTGGTTATGGAAGTAAAAAAATTGCTTGAACCCTGGCACCTCTTTCATTACAAATTAAGCCCTGGAATTAGCTCTCACCCTGTCTGGCACTGCCTTCTGACAGTTGCCCACTCTCTGGATTCCACCCCCACGCCTCCCATCTCTCTGACTCAGGGTGTTCCCTCTTCGTGACTTGGCCCTCCAAATAAGTCTCTATATCGTCCTCCCTCTTCCAGAGTGACAAAATCCCCCCAGACAAGCTGTCCCTACGCCATCTCAGGCAGTCTTCTGTTCCAACTCCAGGTCCTGTGCCTGGCAACCTGCCAGGGCTCCTGGGCTCCCAGACCGCTTAGTAGCCTGGGCTCCCAGTACCCCTGGCTCCTCAGCAGCCCACCTGGCAAGGAGCTTGGCAGCCAGGGTTTCCAGCTCCTTTCAGTCCACTTGGAGGACTGCTGCAGCACCAGGGCTCCTAGGGGGTCACGGCTCCATGGAAACCAGGCTCCCAATGTCCCTAACTCCCCAGCTTCTTCTGAGCAGCCCGCAAGCCAGGGGAGCATATTTCACATCAGAAATACTAAAATGTTTCCATTGCAGGAATATTTTGGTGTTTGCAAAACGAAAGATTGTGTAATTTAATTTCTATGGATTTTTCCCCAAACCTTGAAATTTTTCACAAAAGTGAAATTCACTTTCCTGTCCATCTTTAGTTACAGTTAATTTAATGTTATAGTTCATGGTATATAATAAACAAAGTTGCAAATGCTAGAGCAGGGGACCCAGCTCACCTCTCGTGAAGTCTGCTTGATTACAGAGTTAAAGATATTAGAATGTTTATAACATTCAAATGAGAATGGTCTGTAAAAAGATTAAATTAAGATTATACAACAATGGTATAATACTGTATGTTATAATATGGATATTCTACTGGGCTTGGGTTGAATTCACTTTTTTTTTTAACTTGCTAATTATATACAATTGCACACCTTTCCTTCTGAGAACTGGCAAACCCCTGGAGAGTAAGAAGACCCCAAGATCTCACCAATAGTAGAAATCAGACAGTATGGGGAATGGACAGAATCGTAGATTTTAAGGAAAGAAGGATCCATGCCTGCCTCCCAACAACTGCTGCAACTATTTGGGGGATTTCACGTCACCAGTGTGAAATGTCACACAAGGAGCTACACAAACCTGGCAGCTACTAGGAGTCAGAGGATGACTGATGAGGCAAAGCAGACGGAAGGGTTGGTTTTTGAGGAGGGATTTGCTGGAGCAGAGAAGGCCCTTGGTGAATGAAGACAGGGAGAGGGTCCCTGGAGGTACAGAGGCAGCAGAGTACATGACTTGATACTGAGAGCTGGAAGGAGAAAGGAAGGGAGAGGAGAAGGAAACACACAGATCGTGAGGTTCTAACTTTGTATCCTAAGGGTGATGTATATGTGACGCCCATAGGTGTAAGGGTCCCTTAGCATAGGGTGTCTGATCAACCGGCTAAAGATAGACAGTTGCACAACTTCTCTTGCCCTAGGCACCATCAACCCAGCTCAGTCCCTGACCTGCAATGTGTTGGATAGCTGCAATAAATATATTTGAGCATGAGCTTTCGTGAGCTACAGCTCACTTCATCAGATGTTTACCGTGGAAACTGCAGCAGACTTTATATACACACAGAAGTTTAAGTTTAAGTAACAAGTTTAAGGTTGTTACTTAGTTGTTACTTTTCAAAGGCTACCTCACAAGGCCTGTTGGCAGGCAGATTATTACAACTGCCCGCCCGAGGGGACAGCAGGGGAAGGGGTGTAAACCAAAGCAGCCTGTATTCACACCCTGCACCCTATTGTAATAATCTGCCTGCCAACAGGCCTTGTGAGGTAGCCTTTGAAAAGTAACAACTAAGTAACAACCTTAAACTTGTTACTTAAACTTAAACTTCTGTGTGTATATAAAGTCTGCTGCAGTTTCCACGGTAAACATCTGATGAAGTGAGCTGTAGCTCACGAAAGCTCATGCTCAAATAAATTGGTTAGTCTCTAAGGTGCCACAAGTACTCCTTTTCTTTTTGCGAATACAGACTAACACGGCTGTTCCTCTGAAACCTGCAATAAATATGTTAATTAAATAAATATATAGGAGCATGGAGGTGAGCTGGAGAAATAAGAAGAATCTTTATTAAGTGAAAGTTTAATTCCACTGAGCTAAATTGAAATTACATGAATGAGCAGGGGAGGGGGAACTCTAGTTCAGTCCAGTGCCACAGAAACTCCCCGCATCAAAGCAGGCTGTCCAATCATAAGCATTACATCACCACAATTTACTCTGATTGGCTGATCAGACCTCAAGAGCTGGAAACATACTAGCCCCTTGTAAATAAAGCAGCATTTATGGCTGTCAAAAGTAGTTTCAATTGTTGTCAACTGCACCACAAATGAACTGAAAACATACCCAACTTATGTGAGGAACAGATTCGCACCTGAGCCAGGCTAAGAACACTGTTGGGTTATTGTACATGCCTTTGGAGTCAATAATTTTTCTTTTTTTGGTATTGCATTTAATTTTGTTAAATCACAGTTACTTAAAAAGCCAGGTTATTTATCTGTCTGTTTCAAGACAATGAGTTCATTTCTGTCACTGTACTAATGAGTCCGGGATCATAGACAATCAAATTCACTACTGGTGTAGGACATTGAGGTGACTTTTCATGATCTTTATCGAGGCAAAACACAGAGCTGGTATGATTTTGGTGCATTTAACACTAAACTTGGTAGTGAAGCTATATCAATGTCCTTGGGGTCAACGAGAGATTTCAAGGTAAAATTCTGCAAAATCATTGTCAGTATCAAAAATATCTCCATCCGAGCCAGACCCTCTCCCACACAAATCCGTTTCCCTGAAATGAAAAAGGAATATTGAGGAGATGCAGGAGATCTTTCTTTGCAACATATGTTAAATACTGTTACAATGGAAGTAAACATCCAGATTAAAATTAGATGCACAGAGTGATTCCGGGTAATGACATGGAGGATAATGACTGTCTCTCAGAGTTCAGGAAGGTATGAAAGCATTTGCGGTCTTAAGAAGCCACTCACAGATCATTTCAAAGGCTGAGTTCCACAGAGTAAGTATCTCTTTAAATACAAATATGTGGAGACAGGTGGGCAGATAATGGGGTTTGAGGAAGAGTTAATGCAGGTCCCAAGTCAGTTAATATGTTTAAGGGGGGAATGACACAGTGGTTCTTGAGTGGAAGGTGGAATTAACAGGTAGCGAGGTGCAGGCATACTGAGTACTAGGATGGAGAACAGCAAACAGGGTTTTTTAACAGAGTGACGGGATCTTCATTGATTGGAGTAAAGTTGAGAAGTTAAGCAGCCCCTACTGATCTCTCTCCCAGTGACTATGCAGATGGCTTCTGCCCTGTTGCATGTTACTCCCTTCAATTTTTTGCATGCACATTCAATCACAATACATCCACTGCGAGCTGACACAGACAGACAAAGGAAGATGTGAAGTTGCCAGGCAGAGTGGAGAGTAGTGCATGTTCAATAAGTTAAAAAACAGAATGGAGACCAACAGATACTTCGCTGTTGTGAGAGGCTCTGCTTCATGGCTGGCCCAAAAATGCTCTGCAGACTACAGTCTGAGAACTCTTTATATACTCAAGACAAAGCTAAGAGAGAATGGTCTGGGATCTGAAATAAACATGGCTTTTTTTACCTGCAGAAAAAGGCATGAAGAAGTCACTCTTCTTAAAGGCACCATTTTCATCCAAGAAATGTCCCGGGTTAAATTGCTCTGGCTTTGGAAATTCCCTGCTGTCACCTAGGACTGATTGCAGAGCAGGGAATATAGTAGTGCCCTGATTTAGTAAACACAGATAAAGAAAGTTTAAGTGGATACTGTTCAAAGTGAAAAGCCCCCAGAATTCACTGAGCTGGGTAGTGGGACACATTTTTCTTTCCTTCGTTTCCTTGCATCCCCGGGAAATTCATGCCTTCAACCAGAACTAGAAATACTCAGATTCCATGACAAAAGGTAACCCCACCAAACTGCAGCCCACCTGGAACAACTAGATCCTGGAATTTCATGAGAAAAGCTGCTCCCATTAGGTTACCGCCCTGGTTTCTACATCAAAGAGGTTTGGGAAAGTCTGGCTAAGATCCAGAAGTGTTAGGTGCATCTCTCAGCTGCTATTTGAAAGCATTTGAGTTTCCCTGGTCTTTATAGTTTAGTCATCACACCAATAATTTCCCCATAACTAACTAACACAAAGATAACAATGCTAAAAAGCCCTATACAACTCAAAGTGAAACTCAGTTAGCAACCTAAGACATGGTCACTGCGAGTTGTGGTGCATATTAACACCTCAGAATGTCTAAAGCTTGGTGGAGATGGAATCAGCTCAGAAATTGAACTCCCCAAAGAGACTCCCAAAAAGAGGGAAACTATTGCATACTTGTTTGATATCTATTCCATATCTAAAAGCTTGAATGAGGCTCTAAGCCTGTCTTCTGGAAGGAGAGCTGAGTCTGCAGAATGCAGGGTTCTGTTCTTCTTCATGCAATAATAACTGGAACGTTGTTGGTAACTGTGAAAAACACCTGTCATGCTCAAACCAGGGCAAACATTTCTATTGTGAATAATTCAAAACTGAAAAAAGGAAAACGTAGAACTGGATTTTTCAGAGAAATGTTGAGAACTAACCTTGGGAATAACATATTGTCTGAAACAAGTGTCTCTGGTCACTGCATGTGGGACACCCATCGGGACAAGGTTAATGAATCTCTGCATCTCATGTATCACAGCATCTGTGTAGGGCATCTGGCTTCGGTCCGCCATGCAGGGGCTTCGGCTTCGGCCAATCACACGGTCAATCTCTTCATGAACTTTCGCTGTCATCAAATGAACAAGGTTAACAATAAAGCTAAAGAACAGGATTCCCATAATTTTGCCCCCATTCTGTAACACAGTCAGAAATATACATGTCTCAGCAGATACATGTTGGGAATATAACAAGTTATAACAATATAACAGTTAGTTTTGGGTTACTGAAACTATTGTACGTGGTATCTAGGACAAAATGTCTATAATGTAATTATTAGGGCAGTGATATGGCTCATGCCTGGTTATGTTATAAAAGAAAGCACAGTATGATGTTATCACCAGAGCATATAACTAACTGCTTCACAAGAGATTGAGGCCTAAAATTTTCCCACACCAAAGTCAATCATCCACATGAGCATGGAGGAAGCTGATGAGGTGGAAATTAGCGCTGTATATTAACTGGGTTTTGATAAATCTCTTGCACTGACAGAGTTTTGATTTAAGCCCTTACTGAATCCTGACACCTACAAGATGATTAAATCCTAAAATGAAATGGCTTTGCCTTTATTTGAGGGGAGGGTGCCAGTCTGACAGCCCTAGAATGCAAAGGTACCTGTTACCCACAGACCAGGCACCATCTGGCCAATGGCAGCGCAGGCTTCCCCCACACAAACACATACACTTTCCCCTGGCTTGTGAGCCTTAATGTGAACCGCGAGGTGAGAAAGGAATCCAGTCACAAGGGCCTACTCAGTCTGAAAGCCCTCTGCTGAGACTGCCCATAAGGAGGCCGAGTAATGGCAGTTGTGATGGTGCTTTTCGAATGCAGACACCTGTCCACACAAACTGAACTAAAACACCCATCCCCAAACACCTCTCTCACAAATCAGCCTGCACACAGTGGTGACATGGCTCACTTCCAGCCCAAGCCAGATTTGATCTAGTGACTTAAGGGACAGGGGTCTGTACCCCATTACAGATTCCTTGAGCCATGCAATCCCCTCATCTCTCCAAAACTTAAAATTGTGTGTGTGTCTGTAGGGTACCTTCTATATCTGGATATTTCAGAAGAATCAGGAGTCCATGTCTCAGGGTGGTGCTGGATGTCCCTGTTCCAGCAAGGAATAAGTCTACTGTGCTTCTCACCAAGTTTTCAGTGTTAAATTCTGACTGGCCATTCTGTTGCTCCTGTAGAGAGACTTGTTATAGTTGTTGGATCATTGACTGTAAGTGTGGGATCTATTCATACAGGCCCAAACCCTCTCATCTTCTACCTGCTCTGTGACCCACTCGGCATCTTTATAAAAATCCTTACAGAAAATGGGCCATGGCCCTGGAGATTGCAGTAGCACTTCAGGGGTGATTTAGGCCATTGCTGTGGAAATAGGTGGTCTTTTGTAAAAGAGGAGAACTGGAGCATTACAGTAACTAGGTTTCAGAGTAACAGCCGTGTTAGTCTGTATTCACAAAAAAAAAAGGAGTACTTGTGGCACCTTAGAGACTAACCAATTTATTTGAGCATGAGCTTTCGTGAGCTACAGCTCACTTCATCCGATGAAGTGAGCTGTAGCTCACGAAAGCTCATGCTCATGCTCAAATAAATTGGTTAGTCTCTAAGGTGCCACAAGTACTCCTTTTTTTTTTGTAACTAGGTTAGTTTTCATCTGTATTTCTAATGGTTAAAATTGAACTTGTTGTTGTTGATTCCTTTGCTTTCCTATTTTGTTTGCCTGGGCAGCACGAATTGCCTTGATAACCTTGAATTAGAAAGGAAACCAAATGTTTCTAACCCGTTTTTAATCTTGGAGCCAGATGGATTGAGTCTGATGCTCTAAAGGAAGCAAAAACCCACGAAAACACAAATGCCTGGCTACCTGTTGAACGAGGAGTGCACTGATAGAACTTGTAATAGGCTGTCATTGCAAAATATTACATGAGATTAGCAGGAGGGTTTCCAAAGAAACAGATGGTAGGTTAGGTCTGTAGGTGTGGGCATAGGCAGCCGTTTGAAACTGGATTCTCCTGCTAATCCCACTGAGGCTAACACAGAGCAGTAAAAGTGCCTCTGTCCACCCACTTAATAAAACCTCTTTTAATGGCTTAATTACAAACAGAACCAATCTGTTTCCAAGTGCTTTTGATACCTACTTTGGGTGCTCTGTCCTTTTAAGATGTCTATACTGCAATAAAAAACCCACGGCTGGCCTGGGTCAGCTGACTCGGACTCGTGGGGATCTGGTTGAGGGGCTATAATATTGCAGTGTAGACATACGGGCTTGGGCTGTAGCCCCGGGTCTGAGGCCCAGGAAGAGGGAAGGGTCTCAGAACCTGGGCTGCAGCCCAAACACCAACATCTACACTGCAATATAATAACTCTGCAGACCGAGCCCTTCAAGCCCAAGTCAGCTGACCTGGGCCAGCCATGACTGTGCTGTGGGTCTTTCATTGCAGTGTGCACATAAGCTTAGATTTGTCTTACTCACTGGTGTAGTCCCACTGGCATCACCGGCACTACTCACACAAATGAGGTGAGCAGGGCTTGCCTTTCAGAATGTAAATCCCAGGGGCAGAGACCAGGTCTGCCTTTGGGTCTTGTACAGAGTGATAAATACCCACGATATGTATAACCCACTCCACAGCAAAGGGGAAGGGCGGCTGCCCTCACATACCTGTTCCATTTTGATGAGGAAAGCATCAATGAAGTCTCGAGGGCAGCTGAGATCCAGAGACTCTTCGTGCATCTTCACTCTCTCCAGAACAAATCTTTTAAACTCCTCCGAATTTTTAACTAACTGCTGGTGAGGCCCAGGTATATAATCCATGAGAGTTGGGAAAAAATTGTACAGCTAGAATGATGGAAGGAAAAGCACATCTTGGTTTATCTGGACACACCAAATAATCAATTGACCCAACTGACTCAGTTACAGCAGCACAATACAATACTTTTGTGGCACGTTCCTGTGCAAATGCATTCGAAAGAACGTCTCATGCTTCACTAACTCATTCTACTCAATACACACATATTCCTCACAGAAACTGCAGTGACACTCAGTTCTATTCGCTACAATAATCTCCATTATTTCCAACACGAAAGCATCACCAATACAAACATGCTGTTCTTGAAAATCACACTCAAGTTCCCAAACCTAGCTCAGATTTTCATAGGCAGAAATACAACGTAAAAGATATCTTAGTCGTCCTCAGGTTAGAGTCAAGGGGCCAAATTCTCTGCTGCTGGAACTCCATTGATTTTGACTGAGTTCAACTGTTGTGCATTTGGTGAGATTTTCAGCAATGGGATGTGTGGGTGGCTGTGTACTAGAAACGAAAAGGAGTTTGCTTTGCAGGTGAGGAATGTGACCACATTCAGGTATCCCATTGTGAATATACCAAGGCATGTGAATTGCAATGATTTGGATGCTAATGTTTTAATTGGCAGTTTCCTTGATTTTTACCAAGAGTGTTGAAAGGGAAAGTCCTTGAGCAAACGTAATTCTGAGGAAATGAAGTGGTTTGTGTGCGAATTTAAATAATCCTTAGAAACAAGTTTGAGGCTGGGATTGGTAATAGCTGCCTCCTTATGAGGAGAACAGGAACATTATGGGAATGAAATAATTATTTAAGGAAAAGTAACAGTGAAAGAAAGAAAGATCTATCTCTTCCCACATCACAAAGGAGAAGAGTGGAAAAAACCACTGAACACACCTGTCCCAGGAAAGAGCGGAAGAGTTCATTGTTTTCCTCTGTGAGATTAATGAATGCCAGAAACTTCTGATCTTCATAGTCAAACCGGTTCCCAAAGACAATGGAGCAGATGATGTTGGAGACAGCATGGGTGAGAGGGATGGTGGGATCAAAGGGTCGCTCTGCAACAAAACAAAACCAGCGTCCAATTTTTAATTCAGTATTTTCACCTACAGCATCACATCCATTGATGTTATTGGGAAGTTCTGGATGTCCTGGCCCCAGACCGAGAGTGCAGTCCCGAATATTCATTGGGGAGGGTGAGTTCTGGTGTCACAGTTCCAGGGTGAGCTGGGCTTTAGACCCCTCTCAGCCCCTCTCCAGACCCCACCTCAGGTGACAGGCTGAGTTCCTGCCCTGCTCTGAATGGGAGGAACCCTGCAGTCTAACCACCCTTGGACTGGATAGCTGAGCAGCAAACTCACTACTTCCCAACTATATTAGCATGACAGGCTGCTCTGTGCTGGGCACCTGTGAGCCCTTTCCCTCCAGGGACCTGTGACCAGCGGGTGATCAAAGCGACTCAAAAAAAAAAACCAATCTCCAAAACAAAGTGTTATTTATCCACTTAAAGGTATGCAGCACACAGAGCAAAAACTAGAAACAATAAAGGCTTCTACACACATTCCTTTTACCGAAACAATCTATCCTTGCAAGCTTCGGTAAGTTCCATGCAGCCCAGTTACCTCCATCTCACTCAACTCCCTTTCTGCTTCGGTGAGAATCTCTAATATTTTAGTATCCCTGTTGGATGCTAGTTTCTGTCCGGGAAGACAATACTTTGCCAATTAACTGAAGCTAAGCTGGGGCTGTTCTCAAACTAACAGCTTCTCCATTATTACCAGTGGCATTCTCTCTGATCGTACTTATCTTTGCCATTATTCCATTTCCTCTTGCTGTCCCCCTTTCAGCCTCCTTTTACTTAATTCTGTACAGTCAGGCAGGATAATATCACACAGGTAAACTGAGGTGCACAAGGTATTTATGAAAAATAACACAGATATTTCCCTCATTCTCCACCTAGAGCTTCCCCAATGCTATCTCTGTAAATTTATATTAAATAATTATCTCCATTTTGCTGGGAATCAGTTTTCACACTGTCTCCTTTGGTGCTCTCTGTCTGACACACTCTGGTCTGACCAGGGACCATCAGTCCCTCTCTGAGTGAGGCCTGCCTGTCTGCCGTGGGCTCTTTACACAGGCCTGACAGACAGTATCCCATTCAGAACAGAATCCTGCATTCAGAGGATTCTGCCTGAGCCATTGCTTGTAGCATCGTCACAAACTCCTGTAATGCAGCAGGGCCTATGCAGTATTCAAGGGAATTGTCTACAAGATTTCACCCCTCTGACTTGAGACCACATTGCACAGAGAAAACATCCAGAAGCAGCATTTTCTCCATGCAGTGTGTTCTCGCCTCACAGCAGACTCCTGCTCCTGGCCCTCACCCAGGCAGATTTCTTTTGGGTCATTATCTACAGGAGCAGCTGTCCTTGGCTCAGGATGCACACGTGGCAACAGCAGTAAAGTGGCTCTCCCTTGTTTCTGAATCACGGGTGGGGAAGGTTCTCCGTGTATTCTCCTCTCATACACACAATTCACTGAGACGGACAGGCAACTTCATTTTAGCCCTTAATGGCGTACTGTATACTGCAAGAGGTGGGATGGTCTTGTGGTTAAGGCAGTGGCCTGGGTCTCAGGAAATCTGGATACAATTCCCAGCTCTGCCACAAACTTCCAGGTGTGACCTCGAGCAAGTCGCTTAATCTCTCTGTGTTTCAGTTCCCCATCTCTAAAAGAGAGAAAATAATTCTTCCTTTCTCCACTTTTTCTTCGTCATGTGTATTTAATATGTACGTTGCTTGGGGCAGGGACTGTCTCAAACTGTTTGTTAGCACAACCCATAGGCGAAGGAGCCCCAGTCTTGGCTGGGACCTCTAGAAACTAATAGAACATAAATAAATAAATAAATAATAAAATCATCATCATCTCTTAGGAAGCACTGTAAATTTACACAGTGATTTCAAACTTTCCTCGGGAGACCATCCCCATGCAATGTAGGAGTCAGACGCGTATCAGACATCTAGCAGAGAAGAAAATCAGAATAAGCAAGCTGTAGGCCTCAGTGTCTTATTAGCCCAACACACGGAAGATAAACTAATCCACTCTAACATGGTTCACTGTGTTAGCTTCTGCCTACTCTGGACAAACATTTTCCATTTGCCCATTGGCCACAGATCAGAGGGTCGAAAACATGGGAAATAACAGCCAGGAAAGGTCATCTCGGGAACTTTTCTCACATATTTTTCCTTTATATTAAACACAGGTTGTTATATGTGCAGCTAATGGCTTGAGTTATAAGGTGTTTGAACCAAAGTTAAGATCACAAAATAAAGGAAGACAGGAGTCTTTAGCTGACTCCTCAGTTTCCGAATTACAAGCAGCAATTCCCCACCGTGTGTTTTTTTGAGCCTTTCCACCAGAAAACAGGCTTCCTCCTGGATCCGTTCCTCAATGCTTTTCTTCCCCATCCCAAAGTTTCTGAGCGTGGTGAGGGCAAATCGGCGAAGCTGCTTCCACCGCTCCCCATTGCTGAATATAATGCCTGGAAAAGGGAGGAGAATAGGAAAGATGGGTGGGGGCTAAATTTGCTAAATTTCTAACCTAGGGAAACATGGGTCATTGAAAGGTTCAACGTCAAGGCAAACATTATTGTATTTGTGTTCTACTGGAGACCCTGGATTACATTTTTTCTGTATGAAACTCAAAATCCCACACGTTAATCTCATTGCTGTTTATAGCAATTATGAACAAGAAAAATAATTCCATTGATTGCCATGCGCAATGGCTATATTTTGTTCTCTAACACAGTGTAAACTGTCACAGTAATTAGAGCAAAGTACATATACTGGTACCATGTAAAAATAAGAAATACACTGGACATGAATAAGTGGCTATAGTGAGTATCCCTCAAAGAGCAGGACTAAATGAAACACCAACGATCTTCTCAGTCGTGTTCTCCACATACAGAGAACATCAGCGCTACATGCTGAAGTTGTTAGCAATATACCTGCTCCTTTAGCAAGCTTGTCAGCCAGTGCTAGTTTTCCTCTTCCACTGAACTCATCCCCTTGATCAATCAGAGCTTCCTTCACAGCCTCCTGTCCATACAGCACCACAACCCGCTGTGAGCCTAAGCGTATTGTGAAAACCGGGCCGTACTTTGCACTGAGCTGTAAAAGATTAACACAAAGGACCAATACGTTTTTACTAAATCCACTTAAGAATAAGAAGGAGAGTGGATCTAATTACAAACTGATGGAAGAGCTCTCATGCACACGGCTACCTCAGTCCTTATGGCCAGCGCCTAACACACGCCCGAGCCCTGTCTTGATCCTCAAATGCAGTGTTGCCCTCCCTCGCTCATCTGCTCTTAAAGCTCACCTAACAGATTAGATCCATACAACATGCACCAGAAAAGGAGGAGGAGGTGCCTCCCCCCTCTCCCGCCCCAATCACTTTTAGTTTAGTGGGAATGCTACTCACCTGAGATGTGGGAGAGCCGGGTTTAATTCCCCCCCATACCTGATGTGAAGAAGGGATCTGAATCCAGGTCTCCCCTCTCTTTGGAGAGTGCCCTAAACCACCACGCTGTGGGTCATTCTGGAGCAGGACTCTCTCCATCTTTCCTGTTGAAGCTGTTCCATTGCATATCAATAAGTGAACAGTCATTGGGAAAGGAACTTGGGTCTCCCACATCCTGGGTGAGCGACCTAGGCCTAACCACTAGGATATAGAGTCAGTCTCACTCTCTCTCTGGAGCAGCTGCCAAGGAAAGGTGAGTCCACCAGAACGCTGGACCTGAGTCCTCCTATAAGGCAATTTACCCCTGGATGTGTGTGGGGAGAGGAGCCCCTCTACAATCACTGTCCTTTCTGGATCTCCACCCAGGAGGGATATGTCAACTTTACAGAGTAGAGCAACAGTCTAGGCCTTACCCTTGTCCTGTGAAGAAGGCAAGTATCATTAGATCAATTTTACAAGAGGGAAACATACAAAGAACTTTGGTGGTTTCCCCAGGCACACACATGTAATCAATTGCGGAGCTGGGACCAGAACCTAGGGCTGCTGTCTGCTTCCCTGCTTAACCCACCAGACCACACTCCCCACTGCAGCACAACCTGTACAGGCTGCAGCACAACTGAGAGGGTGTATTCTGGTTTACCTGTGAATAAGACACATTATCATAAAAATAACACATTGACAGGAACAGGTTGTATCTAGCATTCAAGATTAAATATTTCTGTGGAAAAAATATTTAGCCTTAAACATGAGGAGTTGAGCCACTCTGCAAACCCCAGAAATTTCAGAGTTCTCTTTCCACAGTCTCTGCTTAAAACCCACCTGAGCCAAAGCCCTGGATACGGAGAAAGCCCCCTTACCTCATGTATAGATTGGGGCAAGTTCCTCATATTCAGCTGCAGCGTGTTCCCTATGATGGGAAAAGCAACAGGGCCAGGTGGCAGCTTCCCACTTCCAGACACCTTTTTCCATGCTGAAAGGAAAAGAAGGCAAGAGACACAAAGCACCAGGAAAACACTTGTTGCTCCCAGAGGTTCCATTGCAGAGTGTAACAATTATTCTGGGTTCTAACAGGGGGTTACTTTGTATTTCAGAATCCATCTTTTATATACTGTACGGTGCAAAAGTACAATGGAAAGTGCAAGCAATTAGCCAATTGCAGTTCTCAATTCTTCTGGGTCAACAAGATTATCTAGGGCTAACGAAGGGTTACTGGATATTGACAAACTAGGAATGAACTCCTTCGAACCTTTGTTTGCTGATCATCTGTGTTTGCCCCTTGTGTACTCAGTGACAGAGCAAAAAATTAATCATTATGTGAAACCTTCTAAGGCTCTCCAAACTTCCATGAACTCACCATCCTCCATCTGCATGTATCTTGAGAGGCTTGGTGCCAGCTGGAACATACAATGGTGAGTGCCTTTCATGCTGCTATGCAGGATTCAGATTGAGGCTGGAGGAAAAGAATTAACAGCTGAGAAAACTGCTGTTACACCTCCTCCCCTGCCAGCCCCTCTCTGAGCCGGCCACCATCTTGGCTTTTCCTCTTGTTGCCCTCCCAGGCCCACTGGCCAACTTAAGACACAGGTGTGAGGAGTCTAAAGCACTGCTGCCTGAGACAGGTGCTAAGTATGCCTGCAACTGGCAGAGGGAGGGGCAGGAGCCGCCATCACCAGGGTCTTTTTCCTGGGGCAGGGCCAGGAGCAGCCCCAAAGAGCCCCTTGCAGAGGCATCTAAAAGTTCCTTCTGAGAGTCAGAGAACTGTGGCAGAGACAGTCTACCAAAAGAAATTATCTAGGGCCTCTTCACTGATTTCTTCTTCAGATAAATATCATTTAGATGAAACTGTTTATTAATATCTGACTGTGTTGTATATAATTTATTGCTACTATCATGAACAGGAGCAATCTTATTTCTGAAAGCCTTTTGCTTAAATGTGTGTGTCAACAGCTTGCCAGCTCTCTTGCCAAATTCCAAGTAGTTTTGCTTCAAACAGAATAAAGCAAACTCAGCCTTTTGGGACAGAAGTTTGTTGATTTCATAGCTTAGATGGATGAGGGTTCTGAGTTTCTCTGGAGAAAGGATAGAATCACAGTCTACATCCAAGGCCTTAGGGTATGTCTACACTATGAAATTAGGTCGAATTTATAGAAGTTGGTTTTTTAGAAATCATTTTTATATATTCGAGTGTGTGTGTCCCCACAGAAAATGCTCTAAGTGCATTAACTCGGCGGAGTGCTTCCACAGTACTGAGGCTAGCGTTGACTTCCGGAGTGTTGCACTGTGGGTAGCTATCCCACAGTTCCCGCAGTCTCCACTGCCCATTGGAATTCTGGGTTGAGATCCCAATGCCTGATGGGGCTAAAACATTGTCACGGGTGGTTCTGGGTACATATCGTCAGGCCCCCCCTTCCCTCCCTCCCTCCATGACAGCAGCAGCAGACAATCGTTTCGCGCCTTTTTTCTTGAGTTACCTGTGCAGATGCCATACCACGGCAAGCATGGAGCCCGCTCAGGTAACCGTCACTGTATGTCTCCTGGGTGCTGGCAGACTTGGTACTGCATTGCTACACAGCAGCAGCAGCAACCCCTTGCCTTGTGGCAGCAGATGGTACAATAGGACTGGTAGCCGTCATCATCATGTCCGAGGTGCTCCTGGCCACATCGGCCAGGAGCGCCTGGGCAGACATGGGTGCAGGGTCTACATTAGAAGTGACTTGACCAGGTCATTCTCTTTAGTCCTGCAGGCAGTCCTATTGAACCATCTTATGGTGAGCAGGCAGGCAATACGGATTGCTAGCAGTCCTATTGTACCATCTTCTGCCGGGCAGGCAAGAGATGAGGATGGCTAGCAGTCCTATTATACCATCTTCTGCTGAGCAGCCGTGAGATGTGGATGGCTTGCAGTCCTTCTGCACCGTCTGCTGCCAGCCAAAGATGTAAAAGGTAGATGGAGTGGATCAAAACAAGAAATAGACCAGATTTGTTTTGTACGCATTTGCTTCCCACCCCCGCCCCGTCTAGGGGACTCATTCCTCTAGGTCACACTGCAGTCACTCACAGAGAAGGTGCAGAGAGGTAAATCTAGCCATGTATCAATCAGAGGCCAGACCAATCTGCTTGTTCCAATAAGAACAATTACTTAGGTGCACCATTTCTTATTGGAACCCTCCGTGAAGTCCTGCCTGAAATACTTCTTGATGTAAAGCCACCCCCTTTGTTGATTTTAATTCCCTGTAAGCCATGTCGTCAGTCCCCCATCAGAGCAACGGCAGACAATCGTTCTGTGCCTTTTTTCTGTGCGGACGCCATACCAAGACAACCATGGAGGCCGCTCAGCTCACTTTGGCAATTAGGAGCACATTAAACACCACACGCATTATCCAGCAGTATATGCAGCACCAGAACCTGGCAGAGCGATACCGGGTGAGGAGGTGACATCAGTGCGGTCACGTGAGTGATCAGGACATGGACACAGATTTCTCTGAAAACATGGGCCCTGCCAATGCATGCATCATGGTGCTAATGGGGCAGGTTCATGCGGTGGAACGCCGATTCTGGGCTCGGGAAACAAGCACAGACTGGTGGGACCGCATAGTGTTGCAGGTCTGGGACGATTCCCAGTGGCTGAGAAACTTTCGCATGCGTAAGGGCACTTTCATGGAACTTTGTGACTTACTTTTTCCTGCCCTGAAGCGCATGAATACCAAGATGAGAGCAGCCCTCACAGCTGAGAAGCGAGTGGGGATAGCCCTGTGGAAGCTTGCAACGCCAGACAGCTACAGGTCAGTTGGGAATCAATTTGGAGTGGGCAAATCTACTGTGGGGGCTGCTGTGATGCAAGTAGCCAATGCAATCAAAGATCTGCTGATATCAAGGGTAGTGACCCTGGGAAATGTGCAGGTCATAGTGGATGGCTTTGCTGCAATGGGATTCCCTAACTGTGGTGAGGCCATAGACGGAACCCATATCCCTATCTTGGCACCAGAGCACCAAGCCAGCGAGTACATAAACCGCAAGGGGTACTTTTCAATAGTGCTGCAAGCTCTGGTGGATCACAAGGGACGTTTCACCAACATCAACATGGGAAAGGTACATGACGGTACGTGGGAAAGGTACATGGCCGGGAAAGGTACATGACGCTCGCATCTTCAGGAACTCTGGTCTGTTTCAAAAGCTGCAGGAAGGGACTTTATTCCCAGACCAGAAAATAACTGTTGGGGATGTTGAAATGCCTATATGTATCCTTGGGGACTCAGCCTACCCCTTAATGCCATGGCTCATGAAGCAGTACACAGGCAGCCTGGAGCTATTCAACTACAGGCTGAGCAAGTGCAGAATGGCGGTAGAATGTGCATTTGGATGTTTAAAGACACGCTGGCGCAGTTTACTGACTCGCTTAGACCTCAGCGAAACCAATATTCCCACTGTTATTACTGCTTGCTGTGCGCTCCAAAATATCTGTGAGAGTAAGGGGGAGATGTTTATGGTGGGGTGGGAGGTTGAGGCAAATCACCTGGCTGCTGGTTACGCGCAGCCAGACACCAGGGTGGTTAGAAGAGCACAGGAGGGCATGGTACGCATCAGAGAAGCTTTGAAAACCAGTTTCATGACTGGACAGGCTACGGTGTGAAAGTTCTGTTTGCTTCTCTTTGATGAAACCCCCCACCCCTTGGTTCACTCTACTTCCCTGTAAGCTAACCACCCTCCCCTCCTCCCTTCGATCACCGCTTGCAGAGGCAATAAAGTCATTGTTGCTTCACATTCATGCATTCTTTATTCATTCATCACACAAATAGGGGGATGACTACCAAGGTAGCCCAGGAGGGGTGGTGGAGGAGGGAAGGAAAATGCCACACAGCACTTTAAAAGGTTACAACTTTAAAATTTATTGAATGCCAGCCTTCTGTTTTTTGCGCAATCCTCTGTGGTGGAGTGGCTGGTTGGCCAGAGGCCCCACCACTGTGTTCTTGGGCGTCTGGGAGAGGAGGCTATGGAACTTGGGGAGGAGGGCGGTTGGTTACACAGGGGCTGTAGCAGCAGTCTGTGCTCCAGCTGCCTTTGCTGCAGCTCAACCATACACTGGAGCATACTGGTTTGATCTTCCAGCAGCCTCAGCATTGAATCCTGTCTCCTCTCATCACGCTGCCGCCACATTTGAGCTTCAGCCTGCCACTTACTCTCTTCAGCCCGCCACCTCTCCTCCCGGTCATTCTGTGCTTTCCTGCACTCTGACATTATTTGCCTCCACGCATTCATCTGTGCTCTGTCAGTGTGGGAGGACAGCATGAGCTCAGAGAACATTTTATCACGAGTGTGGTTTTTTTTCCTTTCTAATCTTCACTAGCCTCTGGGAAGGAGAAGATCCTGTGATCATTGAAACACATGCAGCTGGTGGAGAAAAAAAAGGGACAGAGGTATTTAAAAAGACACAATTTATAAAACAATGGCTACACTCTTTCAGGGTAAACCTTGCTGTTAACATTACATACATAGCACATGTGCTTTCGTTACAAGGTCGCATTTTGCCTCCCCCCACCATGTGACTACCCCCTCAACCATCCCCCTTCCCCGTGGCTAACAGCGGGGAACATTTCTGTTCAGCCACAGGCAAACAGCCCAGCAGGAATGGGCACCTCTGAGTGTCCCCTGAAGAAAAGCACCCTATTTCAACCAGGTGACCATGAATGATATCTCACTCTCCTGAAGATAACACAGAGAGATAAAGAACGGATGTTGTTTGAACGCCAGCAAACATACACTGCAATGCTTTGTTGTACAATGATTCCCGAGTACATGCTACTAGCCTGGAGTGGTAAAGCGTCCTACCATGGAAGACGCAATAAGGCTGCCCTCTCCAGAAACCTTTTGCAAAGGCTTTGGGAGTACATCCAGGAGAGCCACGAATGCCAGGGCAAATTAATCCTTTCACATGCTTGCTTTTAAACCATGTATAGTATTTTAAAAGGTACACTCACTGGAGGTCCTTTCTCCGCCTGCCGGATCCAGGAGGCAGCCTTGGGTTGGTTCGGGGGGTACTGGCTCCAGAGGTCCAGGGTGAGAAACAGTTCCTGGCTGTCGGGAAAACCGTTTCTCTGCTTGCTTGCTGTGAGCTATCTACAACCTCATCATCAATCATCATCATCATCATCTTCTTCTTCGTCCCCAAAACCTGCTTCCGTGTTGCCTCCATCTCCATTGAAGGAGTCAAACAACACAGCTGGGGTAGTGGTGGCTGAACCCCCTAAAATGGCATGCAGCTCATCATAGAAGCAGCATGTTTGGGGCTCTGACCCGGAGCGGCCATTCGCCTCTCTGGTTTTCTGGTAGGCTTGCCTCAGCTCCTTAAGTTTCACGCGGCACTGCTTCGGGTCCCTGTTATGGCCTCTGTCCTTCATGCCCTGGGAGATTTTGACAAAGGTTTTGGCATTTCGAAAACTGGAACGGATTTCTGATAGCACGGATTCCTCTCCCCATACAGCGATCAGATCCCCTCTGCTGATGAGCTCTGCATGGTCACCTGCAGCTTGCCACACTGGCCAAACAGGAAATGAGATTCTAAAGTTCACGGTTCTTTTCCTGTCTACCTGGCCAGTGCATCTGAGTTGAGAGTGCTGTCCAGAGTGGTCACAATGGAGCACTCTGGGATAGGTCCCGGACGGCAATACCGTCGAATTGTGTCCACAGTACCCCAAATTCGACCCGGCAAGGCCCTGGGCTTGACAAGGCCCTGGGCTGGGATGATTTAACTGGGAATTGGTCCTGCTTTGAGCAGGGGGTTGGACTAGATGACCTTCTGGGGTCCCTTCCAACCCTGATATTCTATGATTCTATGATTCTATGATTTAAGTGCTAATCCACTTGTCAGGGGTGGAGTAAGGAAATTGATTTTAAGAGCCCTTTAAGTCGAAAAAAAGAGCTTCATTGTGTGGACGGGTGCAGGTTTACATCGATTTAACGCTGCTAAATTTGACCTAAAGTCCTAGTGTAGACCAGGGCTTAGTTTCCATTACAAGGCTATCAATTTTATATTCTCTCCATTTCTTTTTAAAGGTGGCATAAGAGATGAGGCAGCCTCTGATGAAGGCTTTAAAGCAGGAGTGGGCAAACTTTTTGGTCCGAGGGCCCCATCTGGGTATGGAAATTGTATGGCGGGCCATGAATGCTCACGAAATTGGGGGTTGGGGTGAGGGCTCCAGCTGGCGGTGTGGGCTCTGGGAGCCAGAAATAAGGAGTTCAGGGTGCAGGGGGGAGCTCCAGGCTGGGGCAGGGGACTGGGTTGTGGGTGGGGAGGTGCGGGCTCCAGCTGCGGGCTCTGGGGTGCAGGAGGGTGGGACCAAGAGGTTTGGAGGGCATGAGGGGGATCAGGGCTGGGGTTAGGGCATGGGAGGGGGTCGGGGTGCAGGCTCTGGGCAGTGCTTACCTCAAGCAGCTCCCGGAAGCAGCGGCATGTCCCCACTCCGCCTCCTACATGGAGGCATGGCCAGGCAGCTCTGCACACTGCCCTATCCACAGACACCGCCCCTGCAGCTCCCATTAGCCCCATTTGCTGGCCAATAGGAGCTACGGAGGCAGCACTTGGGGCAGGGGCAGCATGCGAGCCTCCTGGATGCCCCAACACATAGGAGCTGGAGGGGGGACGTGCCACTGCTTCCGGGAGCAGCAGGGAGCAAGCCCCTGACCCCACTCCCTGGCAGCAGCTCAAGGGCCAGATGCAGCTCCAGGGCCGTAGTTTGCCAACCCCTGCTTTAAAAGGCTTCCCAAAGTGTGGCAGCTGATGAAGCGACTGTGGCATTTGTTGTTTGAAAAAAGGTCTAACTCTTCTGTATGGAGTTAACAAATGAGGTACCAAACAGCAGAGAGGTATTTCAACTCCACATTTTAGTTGCAGATGCATACGCTGGGGGCCTAAAAGACATATGTTTAGGACCATGGTCAGATACAATAATATCAATGTCACAATTAGTCACTGAATTGATCAAGTCTTGTGACACAAAGAAATAGTCCAATCCTGAATATTTTAAATGAGCTTCAGGTAGTTGAAGGCTGCTATCAAATCCCCTCTCACTCTTCTCTTCTGCAGGCTAAATAACCCCAGTTCCCTCAGCCTCTCCTCCTAAATCATGTGCTCCAGCCCCCTAATCATTTTTGTTGCCCTCCGCTTTGCCCATATCTACAGAGCCAGTTATCTCATCATACCCTCTGGACTATCTTCTTGCCGTTCTTAACATGGAGCATTACTGGGTATTTAATGAAATGTTTCAAGTCCATCTTTCTGGCCAATTGTTTGCTTGGTTAAAAGCAGCCCTCATTGAACCACATCATGGGCAGACCTTTGAAAGAGTAGTGCTCTCATTGCTGGTTCTCCTGATAGCAGCTCGTTTTTTCCCCTCTGGATTTCTGCAATATAAGCTCCTTAGTAGCAAACTTTAGGAACTTCAGAATCAGTGCTCTTGGGCAACCTCCTGGAGCTGGCTTGAGGGCAAGGGCCTGTGTGCCTGTTCTATATCAAAACAAATCTACTGGCAGATCCAGCAACTTAGCTAGCAGTTTAGGGACAAATTCAGAGGGTTTCTCTATTCCCTCAGGGACACCCACAACCCTGATGTTACATCATCGTGAGTGAATTTCTTGATCAATTAGCTTGGTCTTCACGTTCTTGATATCATTACAGTTCTTCATAAACTGTAATATGTTCTCTTTAAAATCATCTTCCACTCCAGAAATTCTGGGTTCTGCTTCACCCATCAGTCTGGACAGAGCTTGTTGTGCACTCTGAATCTCAGTCGTGATGGCCTGGTGGGTGGAAACTGTAGATTTAATTTGAAGAGTATTTGAGGCCAATGGCTGTAGTACAGCCATCAGCTGTGCTCCATCAGGCTCATGCACCATTGTGTTTGTAGAAGGGGAGGAGGCAGATCTCTTCTATTTTTTCAGTTCTTTTGGATTCTGCGAGGAAGATGCAGAGCTAGAGGGCATGGTGGGGTTTCTCTAGTCAGGCACCATATTTCTCAGGGCCGGGTGATGGGGTTTAGGGTACAATGTTTGGGGATTCTCTGTAGGCTGCTTTGGAGCTGAATCAACCTGCATCCACCTTACTCCCAGTGCCCTCTGGTGTCCAGTTTTCTCTTCTCTGAATACCCATCAGTTTGCTGATATTCGGGCACCGAAATGTGGCTGATTGTGGGCAGTGATCTAAACATGGTCTCACAGCACCATCTAGAGTTCCCACTCTTACCACCTCCCTACCTCATGGTGTCTCTGGACACAGAGCCCAAAATTACACCAGCTGATTTGCCTCTGTATTTGTATTGCAGACTCAGATCCATCTATTTTGCTATTCCCATGTTTTTTAGTGTAATAGAATCATAGGACTGGAAGGGACCTTCAGAGGTCATCTAGTCCAGTCTCCAGTACTCATGGCAGGACTAAGTATTATCTAGACCATCCCTGACAGCTGTTTGTCTAACCTGCTTTTAAAAATCTCCAATGATGGAGATTCCACAACCTCCCTAGGCAATTTATTCCAATGCTTAACCACCCTGACAGGTAGGAAGTTTTTTCTAATGTCCAACTGTTGTATCAACCATGCAAGGTACTTACAAGCTTCAACAGGACTTTATTTTCAAAGTGGAAACCTCTTTACCAAGCTGCTGCTGCTGCACCCTTTGTAGCTTTCTCCCAGCCTCTCAACTCCTCCCCCCTCCTTCCTGTTTCCTGACCTTTCAGATTCCCAACAGCCAGTGCTCCTAATTCTAATCATTACAAGCAACATCTAAACACCACACCAACCTAAATCTCCCTTGGTGCAATTTAAGTCCATTGCGTCTTGTCCTATCCTCAGAGGTTAAGAAAAAAAAATTCTCCCTCCTCCTTGTAACAACCTTTCATGTACTTGAAAACTGTTATGTCCCCGCTCAGTCTCCTCTTTTCCAGACTAAACAAGCACAATTTTTTCAATCTTCCCTCATAGGTCATGTTTTCTACACCTTTAATCATTTTTGTAGCTCTTCTCTGGATTCTCTCCAATTTGTCCACATCCTTCCTGAAATGTGGCACTCAGAACTGTACACAATCCTCCAGTTGAGACCTAATCAGCGCACAGTAGAGCAGAAGGATTATTACTTGTGTCTTGCTTACAACACTCCTGTTAATACATCCTAGAATGATGTTTGCTTGTTTTGCAACAGCGTTACACTGTTTAGCTTATGGTCCACTATGACATATTTAACTTGTGGTCCACTATGATCTCCCGATCCCTTTATGCAGTACTCTTTGCCAGGCAGTCATTTCCCATTTTGTATGTGTGCAACTGATTTTTCCTTCCTAAGGGGAGTACTTTGCATTCATCCTTATTGAATTTCATCCTGTTTACTTCAGACCATTTCTCCAGTTTGTCCAGATCATTTTGAATTTTAATCCTATCCTCCAAAGCACTTGCAACCCCTCCCAGCTTGGTATTGTCTGCAAACTTTATAAGTGTACTCTCTATGGCAGTAGTGGGCAACCTGCGGCCCATCAGGGTAATCCCTGTAGCCTGCCGCTTCCTGCAGCTCCCATGGGCTGGGAACAGCGAACCATGGCAACTGGGAGCTATGGGGGGTCGTGCCTGAGGACCGTCAATGTCAGCAAAATGTCTTGCGGCCCGCAATCAGATTACCCTGATTAGCCGAATGTGGCCCATGGGCTGCAGGTTGCCCACCACTGTTCTATGCCATTATCTAAATCATTAATGAAGATATTGAACAGAATTGGACCCAGAACTGATCCCTGCGGGACCTCACTCGTTATGTCCTTCCAGCATGACTGTGAACCACTGATAACTACTCTCTGGGAATGGTTTTCCAACCAGTTTTACAGCCACCTTATAGTAGCTCCATCCAGGTTGCATTTCCCTAGTTTGTTTATGAGACAGTCATGCAGGACAGTATCAGAAGCTTTACTAAAGTCAAGATATACCACATCTACAGCTACCCCCATCCACAAGACTTGTTCCTCACTGAGTATCTCCAACCACTTACCTGTATTTTGGATTCTTTTCCCCTAGGTGTGTTAGTTTGTAACTGTCCTCAAATGAAGAAGGAACTGGCCACTTAGGGGTAGAGCTCAGAACAGAACCCCCATTTCTGGTGTGGCCCCTCCCCAAGATATGGCTTAACCTTCCTCCCTCCCTTTTCTCTCCCTCCTGCTTGCTATCACCAATATCTGATGTGGCTTCTCCCCTCTCCTGACGTGGGTCAGCTGCTAGGTCCTTTGCTGCTGCCACTGCCTGTTGCCTCCTCTCAAGTGACTTTGCACTGTGCCAGGGTGGCGTCCCTTGCAAGCTCAGCGATCACACTAACAGATGGCAAGGCGTGTAATGGCCGGTACACGAGGGACAATAAAGTAAATAGCACAAACCCCAGTGATGGGATGACATACCCAGAATAGCAACGAACGGAGCAGGGAATTACTGGGAACAGGAAAATAGGATCTGGGGAAGGCCATGGTTCAGGTTAACTGAAAAGTAATAAACATTTATAAATAAGTCCCACCCCCTAGCACTCACAAACTCCTCCAATCCCACCTCCCTCCCTGGCATTTTCCCCAGGCGGGTGGCATGGCTGGGATGGCATGTCCCGAGATGGAGTGGTGCAGCGCTGTGGCACTGGCCAGCTTAAACAAAAGTTAGAGCTCCGCAAATCCGCTGATATCCGCGGATATCCATGGACCATTTTTGTGAATAGTGGATTGGATGCAGATATAGCCATGCAGAGCTCTACTTACCAGCAGCGCCTGGCCCAGGGTGTCTGGCTCGGGCAGCCCAGGGGGCGGGGGTATGGTTGCCAGGTGTTCAGTTTTCGACTGGAATGCCTGGTCGAAAAGGAACCCCTCTGCCCCGCTGTGAAGCAACACACACTGCTGCTGCCATCACTCGCGAATCCCAGAGAGCAGCATGTGATGTGACGCCCTTTCCCCACAGCCTCCGCTCCCGTGCTGCCCCTTCTCCTCGAGACCCCACCCCCACACCACTCCTTACCCCAAGCCCCACCCTCACATCACCTCTTCCCTGAAAGATCCCACTCCCCCCACTCACATAAAAGATTTGTAGATACACATAAAAGATGCCTAGCAGATTGCAGATTGGATGCACATTGATTCTAATGGATGCGAATCGGATGCGAGTCCACATTTTTGTATCCGCACTGGGCTCCAAGTATAGTTTCAACCAGTTTGCCCAGTACTGAATTCAGGCTTACTCGCCTGTAATTGCTGGGGTCACCTCTGGAGCCCTTTTTAAAAATTGGCATCACATTAGCTATCCTCCAGTCATTTGGTGCAGAAGCTGATTTAAATGATAGGCTACAAACCACACTTAGTAGTTCTGCAATTTCACATTTTGAGTTTCTTCAGAACTCTTGGGTGAATGACGTCTGGGCCTGGTGACATATTGCTGTTTAATTTATCAATTTGTTCCAAAACCTCCTCTAATGACACCTCAATCTGAGACAGTTCCTCAGATCTGTCACCTAAAAAGAATGGCTCAGGTTTGGGAATCTCCCTCACATCTTCGGCCTTAAAGAATTAATTTAATTTCTCCGCAATGGCCTTATCATCCCTGAGTGCTCCTTTAGCATCTCGATCATCCAGTGGCCCCACTGGTTGTTTAGCAGGCTGCCTGCTTCTGATGGACTTAAAAACATTTTTGCTACTACTTTTTGAGACTTTGGCTAACTGTTCTTCAAGTTCTTTTTTGGCCTTCCTAATTATAACCCTGGTAAAGGTTGATAAATCAGGCTCAAATTCCACTCACAAATGAGGTATTGGGGAAAGGCAGTGGATGTCAATGGGATGGATAAAATAGTCTCCAATGCAATTCTTTTTCAGCCTGTTTCAATTACAGCATATTTATTTGTAGGACAAGATGAGGTCTGGGAGATAAAAAAGTCTGCAACCTCCTCAGTGTATTGTACAGGAGTTGGCACATGCCAAGCTAAGCTTCCAAAATGCTACACCGGAAATGAACTACCACACAAATGAACTGAAAGCTTACCCCACTTTTGTCAAAACCAGTCACATCTGAGAACACTGCAGGGTCACTATACCTGGCTGGGGGCCATTACATATTTATTTCTGGTATTACACTTAATTTTGTTAAGTCCCAATTACTTACAAAGCTGGGTTATTTATCTGTCTCTGTTACAGCACAATGAGTTCATTTCTGTATTAATGAATCCAGGACCATAGACAACCAAATTCATTCAAGGTCATTGAGGTGGCTTTTCATGGTCTTTATCGAGGCAAAACACAGAGCTGGTATGGTTTTGGTGCATTTGACCCAAAATTCGTCACTGGAGTTATATCAACGTCCTTGGGTTCAACGAGAGATTTCAAGGTAAAATTCTGCAAAATCGTTGTCAGTAACAAAAATATCTCCATCCGAGCCAGACCCTCTCCCATGCAAATCCGTTTCCCTGCAATGAAAAAGCAATGTTGAGGAAATGCAGGAGATCTTTCTTTGCAACATATGTTAAATATTGTTACAATGAAACCAAACCTCCGGATTAAAGTTAGATGCACAGAGTGATTCAGGGTAATGACATGGAGGATAATGGCCGTCTGCCAGAGTTCGGGAAGGTATGGAAGTGTTTGGGGGCTTTAGAAGCCTCTCACAGATTGTTTTAAAGGCTGAGTTCCATATAAAAAGTGGCCTCTTAAAAATCAATATGTGGAGACCGGTGGGCAGATGTGGGGTTTGAGGAACAGTTAATGCAGGTCCCAAGCCAGTTAATATGTTTATGGGGGGAATGACAGTGGTTCTCGAGTGGAAGGTGGAAGTAACAGGTAGGGAGGTGCAGGCATATGGAGTAGTAGGATGGAGAACAGCAAACAGGGTTTTTTAACAGAGTGACGGGATCTTCATTGATTGGAGTAAAGTTGAGAAGTTAAGCAGCCCCTACTGATCTCTCTCCAGGTGACTATGCAGACGACTTCTGCCCTCTTGCATGTTACTCCCTTCAATTTTACTTTTGCATGCACATTCAATCACAATTTGTCCACTGCAGGCCGACACAGACAGACAAAGGAAGGTGTGAAGTTGTCAGGCAGAGCGGAGTGTGAAGTTGTCAGGCAGAGTGTGTTCAATAAGTTAAAAAAAGACACTGGAGACCAACAGATGCTTCACTGTTGTGAGAGGCTCTGCTTCGTGAACGGCCTGAAAAGTCTCTGCACACTACAGTTTGAGAATTCTGTGTTTACTCAAGACAAAGCTAAGAGAGAATTGTCTGGGCTCTGAAACAAACATGGCTTCTTTTACCTGCAGAAAAAGGCATGAAGAAGTCACTCTTCTTAAAGGCACCATTTTCATCCAAGAAATGTCCCGGGTTAAATTGCTCTGGGTTTGGAAATTCCCTGCTGTCATATAGGACCGATTGCAGGACAGGGATTACAGTGGTGCCCTGAATTAGCAAACATAGATAAAGAGAGTTAAAGTGGACACTGTCCACAGCAGAGAAGCGTCCAGAATTCACTGGGCTGGGTAGTGGGACATGTTTTTCTTTCCTTCATTTTCCTGCATCCCCTGGAACCAGAACCAGAAATATTAAAATTCCATGAGAAAAGGGAACCTCACCAAATGGGAGCCCACCTTCAACAAGGAGATCCTGGAATCTTATGAGAAAGGCTCCTCGCATTAGACTGCCAGCCCGATTTCTACATCTAAGAGATTTGGAAAAGTCTGGTTAAGATCCAGAAGTGTTAGGTGCATCTCTCAGCTGCTGTTTGGAAGCATTTGACATTCCTTGGTCTTCATAATTTAGTCATTGCACCAATGGTTTCCACATCACTATTTATAAGAAATAAAATGTATTATTATTATTATTATCATCATCATTTTATTAAAGCTAAAAAGTCCTATACAACTCCCACTAACTCAATTAGCAACCTAGAACATGGTCACTGTGAGTTGTGGTGCACATTAACACGTCAGCAGGACTAAATCTTGGTGGAGAGATGAAACCAGCTCAGAAACTGACCTCCCAAAAGAGGCTCCAAAAAGAGGGAAAGCTTTGCACAGCCTGCTTGAAACGTTGAGAACTAACCTTGGGGATAACATATTGTCTGAAATGAGTGTCTCTGGTCACTGCATGTGGGACACCCATCGGGGCAAGGTTAATGAATCTCTGCATCTCATGTATCACAGCATCTGTGTAGGGCATCTGGCTTCGGTCCGCCATGCAGGGGCTTCGGCTCCGGCCAATCACACGGTCAATCTCTTCATGAACTTTTGCTGTCATCAAATGAACAAGGTTAACAATAAAGCTAAAGAACAAGATTCCCATAATTTTGCCCCCATTCTGTCACACAGTCAGAAATATACACGTCTCAGCAGATACATGTTGGGAATATAACAAGTTATAACAATATAACAGTTAGTTTTGGGTTACTGAAACTATTGTACGTGGTATCTAGGATAAAGTGCCAAAAATGTAATTATTAGGGCAGTGATATGGCTCATGCCTGGTTGTGTACTAAAAGAGTATGCAGTGTGATGTTATTGCCAGAGCATATAACTAACTGCTACGCAAGAGACTGAGGCCTAAAATTTCCCCCCATCAAAGTCAATCATCCACATGACCTTGGAGGAAGCCCATGAGATTGGAATTAGCACTGGATATTAGCTGGGTGTTGATAAATCTCTAACACTTGCCTTTATTTGAGGGGAGGGTGTAGCACTCTGTATCTGAAAGCAGCACCCTGGAACCCCCATATCCACTCCTGTCATATGATTATGATATATTTCATACACAGCATGCCATGTAAGATATTATATGAAAGGTCATGATCTGCTGAAACCCACTGTTCTGTCCAAATATGTATATCATTAGTGAGTATGAAGTTAGGAGATTTTGCTCTATGGTTGTTACTGAAATATGTTGTACACTTGAGAGTTGGCAACTGCCAGTTCTCCAGTGACAACAAAGGAGGGGATCCACTCCCAGGAGGGTGTTAAACTACCATTAATCAGCGAGGGACTTTTAAACAAGGGATTTACAGTGCTGTAAGAGAGCTGCACAAGCATCACACAATGGGGGATTGCTCCACTCTGTGACTCAGCAAAGCCCACCAGGACATATCTGAGCTAGTGTTTTCCAGGTACATGGACTGCGGATATAAAATAGGGGACAGTGGCTTCATGCCTTTCTCCTCCCCCACCTACACTGGAAGCAAAAACAATGCTGGGAAGACAAAGCCTTGAAACTGGTCCCAGGCTTAAAGGGGAAGCCTATGTGTTAAGGATTGTAACCTACCTGCAACATCCAGTGGGGTGAGAACAGCTTGATCCAAACACTGGACAGTCTAATGAGGTTCAGGATTTAGACTGCGTGCTTACCTTTTATTTTCTTTTGTAACTCTCTCTGACCTTTTGTGCCTACCACTTATAATGACTTAAAATCTATCTTTCTGTAGTTAATAAACCTCTTTTATACTTTACCTAAAACAGTGTGTTTTGGTTAAAGTGCTTGGGAAATCTCAGTTCAGTTTACAAAGGCTAGTTAGTGCATGTCCTCTCCACATCAAGGGAGGGCTGGACTGGGTAATGAACTTACACTGGTCGGGCTTCTGACCACAGCAAGACGGTACAGCTCTGAGGTGCAAGGCTGCGCGTTTGGGAGATTTGCTGGTGCTTTTCTCTGTGTGATTCATGAAAGGCTCAGGGAGCATTCACGCTATGTATCTGCCTGTGGGGCTCCACGTGCTGTTGTACTCAGTGACAACAGCTCACAAAGGGGGTTGCTGCTTGTCACTAGCAAAGCATTATGAAAGACAGCCCAGGCTGGAACGTTAAGGGGGGAACAATGGTACCCCAGTTCCAGGTTGTATGGCGGGAATCCCATCACAGAGGGGGCCATCTGACAGCCCTGGAATGCGAAGGCTCCTGTTACCCATAGACCAGGCACCTTCTTGTCAGTGGCAGCAGAGGTTTCTCCTGCACAAACACATACACTTTCCCCCAGCCCAGTAGCCTTAACTTGGACTGGAGGTGAGAAAGGAATCCAGTCACAATGTCTTACTCAGGCTGAGGACCCTGTGCTGAGACCGCCCCTGAGGAGGCGGAGTAATGCCAGTTGTGGTGGTGCTTTTCAAATGTGGACACCTGTCTATGCAAATTGAAGTAACACACCCATCCCCAAACACCTCTCAGTTTCACATAAACCAGTGAACAGCTTGCACACAGCGCTAATGTGGGTTACGTCCAGCCCCAGCCAGATTTGGTCTGGTGACTTAAGGGACAGGGGTCTGTATCCATTAGAGATCCCTTGAGCCATGTAATCCCCTCATCTCTCCAAAACTTAAAATTGTGTGTGTCCATGGGGTACCTTCTATTTCTGGGTATTTCAGAAGAATCAGGAGTCCATGTCTCAGGGTGAGGCTCGATGTCCCTGTTCCAGCAAAGAATAAATCCATTGTGCTTCCTAACAAGTTATCAGTGTTAAATTCTGACTGGCCATTCTGTCGTTCCTGCAGAGAGAGACTTGTTATAGTTGTTTGATCATTGACTGTAAGTGTGGGATCTATTCATACAGGCCCAAAGTCTCTCATCTTCTACCTGCTCTGTGACCCACTCGGCATCTATATAAAAATCCTTACAGAAAATGGGCCACAGCCCTGGAGATTGCAGTAGCACTGCTGGGGTGTTTTGGGTCATTGCTGTGGAAATATATGGCCTTTTCTATTAGAGGCGAATTGGAGCATTACTTTTACCTGGTTAGTTTCCATCTGTATTTTTAACTGTTGTTGATTCCCTTTGCTTTCATATTTTGTTTGAATGGGCAGCAATAATGCCCTTGAAAACTTTGAACCAGAAAGGAAACCAAATGTTTCTAACCAATTTTTAGCCTTCGAGCCAGAAGGATTGAGTCTGATGCACCAAAGAAAGTGAGATCCCCATTGAAAAGGCAGATGCCTGGCTACCTGCTGACCGAGAGGTGCAGTGGTAGAACATCGAAGAGGCTGTTGCTGTAAAATATTGCAGGAGATTAGCAGGTGGGGTTTCCAAAGAAGCTGGTAATAGCTTAGGTCTGTGGGTGTCGGCATAGGAAGCCATTAGAAACTGCTTTCTTCTACTAATCCCACTGATGCTAACACAGGCCAGTAAAAATGCTTCTGTCCACCTTGTAAATAAAACCCTTTCAATGGCTAACCTCCAACAGAGCCAGCCTATACATTGCCAAATGCTGTTGATACCTGCATTGGGTGCTCTGTCCTTTTAAGACATGTATACACTGCAATAAAAGACCCACGGCTGGCCTGGGTCAGCTGACTTGGGCTTGTGGGGATCGGGTTGAGGGTTGCTATAATATTGCAGTGTAGACATATGGGCTAGGGCTGCCGCCCAGGCTCTGAGGCCCACAAAGAAGGAACAATCCCAGAGCTTGGGCTGCAGGCCAAGCACCAACATCTACACTGCAATTTTATAACCCTTCAGCCTGAGCCCTTCAAGCCCAAGTCAGCTGACCTTGGCCAGCCATGGCTGTGCTGTGGGTCTTTCATTGCAGTGTGCACATAAGCTTAGATTTGTCTTACTCACTGGTGTAGTCCCACTGGCATCACCGGCACTACTCACACAAATGAGGTGAGCAGGGCTTGCCTTTCAGAATGTAAATCCCAGGGGCAGAGACCAGGTCTGCCTTTGGGTCTTGTACAGAGTGATAAATACCCACGATATGTATAACCCACTCCACAGCAAAGGGGAATCATAGAATCATAGAATAGAATAGAATCATAGAATATAAGGGTTGGAAGGGACCCCAGAAGGTCATCTAGTCCAACCCCCTGCTCAAAGCAGGACCAATTCCCAGTTAAATCATCCCAGCCAGGGCTTTGTCAAGCCTGACCTTAAAAACCTCTAAGGAAGGAGATTCTACCACCTCCCTAGGTAACGCATTCCAGTGTTTCACCACCCTCATAGTGAAAAAGTTTTTCCTAATATCCAATCTAAACCTCCCCCACTGTAACTTGAGACCATTACTCCTCGTTCTGTCATCTCCTACCATTGAGAACAGTCTAGAGCCATCCTCTTTGGAACCCCCTTTCAGGTAGTTGAAAACAGCTATCAAATCCCCCCTCATTCTTCTCTTCTGCAGGCTAAACAATCCCAGCTCCCTCAGCCTCTCCTCATAACTCATATGTTCCAGACCCCTAATCATTTTTGTTGCCCTTCGCTGGACTCTCTCCAATTTATCCACATCCTTCTTGAAGTGTGGGGCCCAAAACTGGACACAGTACTCCAGATGAGGCCTCACCAATGTCGAATAGGGAAGGGCGGCTGCCCTCACATACCTGTTCCATTTTGATGAGGAAAGCATCAATGAAGTCTCGAGGGCAGCTGAGATCCAGAGACTCTTCGTGCATCTTCACTCTCTCCAGAACAAATCTTTTAAACTCCTCCGAATTTTTAACTAACTGCTGGTGTGGCCCAGGTATATAATCCATGAGAGTTGGGAAAAAATTGTACAGCTAGAATGATGGAAGGAAAAGCACATCTTGGTTTATCTGGACACACCAAATAATCAATTGACCCAACTGACTCAGTTACAGCAGCACAATACAATACTTTTGTGGCACGTTCCTGTGCAAATGCATTCGAAAGAACGTCTCATGCTTCACTAACTCATTCTACTCAATACACACATATTCCTCACAGAAACTGCAGTGACACTCAGTTCTATTCGCTACAATAATCTCCATTATTTCCAACACAAAAGCATCACCAATACAAACGTGCTGTTCTTGAAAATCACACTCAAGTTCCCAAACCTAGCTCAGATTTTCATAGGCAGAAATACAACGTAAAAGATATCTTAGTCGTCCTCAGGTTAGAGTCAAGGGGCCAAATTCTCTGCTGCTGGAACTCCATTGATTTTGACTGAGTTCAACTGTTGTGCATTTGGTGAGATTTTCAGCAATGGGATGTGTGGGTGGCTGTGTACTAGAAACGAAAAGGAGTTTGCTTTGCAGGTGAGGAATGTGACCACATTCAGGTATCCCATTGTGAATATACCAAGGCATGTGAATTGCAATGATTTGGATGCTAATGTTTTAATTGGCAGTTTCCTTGATTTTTACCAAGAGTGTTGAAAGGGAAAGTCCTTGAGCAAACGTAATTCTGAGGAAATGAAGTGGTTTGTGTGCGAATTTAAATAATCCTTAGAAACAAGTTTGAGGCTGGGATTGGTAATAGCTGCCTCCTTATGAGGAGAACAGGAACATTATGGGAACGAAATAATTATTTAAGGAAAAGTAACAGTGAAAGAAAGAAAGATCTATCCCTTCCCTCATTACAAAGGAGAAGAGTGGAAAAAACCACTGAACACACCTGTCCCAGGAAAGAGCGGAAGAGTTCATTGTTTTCCTCTGTGAGATTAATGAATGCCAGAAACTTCTGATCTTCATAGTCAAACCGGTTCCCAAAGACAATGGAGCAGATGATGTTGGAGACAGCATGGGTGAGAGGGATGGTTGGGTCAAAGGGTCGCTCTGCAACAAAACCAAACCAGCGTCCAATTTTTAATTCAGTATTTTCACCTACAGCATCACATCCATTGATGTTACTGGGAAGTTCTGGATGTCCTGGCCCCAGACCGAGAGTGCAGTCCCGAATATTCATTGGGGAGGGTGAGTTCTGGTGTCACAGTTCCAGGGTGAGCTGGGCTTTAGACCCCTCTCAGCCCCTCTCCAGACCCCACCTCAGGTGACAGGCTGAGTTCCTGCCCTGCTCTGAATGGGAGGAACCCCGCAGTCTAACCACCCTTGGACTGGATAGCTGAGCGGCAGACTTGCTACTTCCCAACTATATTAGCATGACAGGCTGCTCCCTGTTGGATGCTAGTTTCTCTCTGGGAAGACAATACTTTGCCAATTAACTGAAGCTAAGCTGGGACTGTTCTCAAACTAACAGCTTCTCCATTATTACCAGTGGCATTCTCTCTGATCATACTTATCTTTGCCATTATTTTATTTCCTCTTGCTGTTCCCCTTTCAGCCTCCTTTTTGCTTAATTCTGTACAGTCAGGCAGGATAATATTACACAGGTAAACTGAGGCGCACAAGGTATTTATGAAAAATAACACTGATATTTCCCTCATTCTCCACCTAGGGCTTCCCCAATGCTATCGCTGTAAATTTATATTAAATAATTATCCCCATTTTGCTGGGAATCAGTTTTCACACTGTCTCCTTTGGTGCTCTCTGTCTGACACACTCTGGTCTGACCAGGGACCATCAGTCCCTCTCCGAGTGAGGCCTGCCTGTCTGCCGCGGGCTCTTTACACAGGCCTGACAGACAGTATCCCATTCAGAACAGGATCCTGCATTCAGAGGACTCTGCCTGAGCCATTGCTTGTAGCATCGTCACAAACTCCTGTAATGCAGCAGGGCCTATGCAGTATTCAAGGGAATTGTCTACAAGATTTCACCCCTCTGACTTGAGACCACATTGCACAGAGAAAACATCCAGAAGCAGCATTTTCTCCATGCAGTGTGTTCTCGCCTCACAGCAGACTCCTGCTCCTGGCCCTCACCCAGGCAGATTTCTTTTGGGTCATTATCTACAGGAGCAGCTGCCCTTGGCTCAGGATGCACACGTGGCAACAGCAGTAAAGTGGCTCTCCCTTGTTTCTGAATCACGGGTGGGGAAGGTTCTCCGTGTATTCTCCTCTCATACACACAATTCACTGAGACGGACAGTCAACTTCATTTTAGCCCTTAATGGCGTACTGTATATTGCAAGAGGTGGGATGGTCTTGTGGTTAAGGCAGTGGCCTGGGTCTCAGGAAATCTGGATACAATTCCCAGCTCTGCCACAAACTTCCAGGTGTGACCTCGAGCAAGTCGCTTAATCTCTCTGTGTTTCAGTTCCCCATCTCTAAAAGAGAGAAAATAATTCTTCCTTTCTCCACTTTTTCTTCGTCATGTGTATTTAATATGTACGTTGCTTGGGGCAGGGACTGTCTCAAACTGTTTGTTAGCACAACCCATAGGCGAAGGAGCCCCAGTCTTGGCTGGGACCTCTAGAAACTAATAGAACATAAATAAATAAATAAATAATAAAATCATCATCATCTCTTAGGAAGCACTGTAAATTTACACAGTGATTTCAAACTTTCCTCGGGAGACCATCCCCATGCAATGTAGGAGTCAGACGCGTATCAGACATCTAGCAGAGAAGAAAATCAGAATAAGCAAGCTGTAGGCCTCAGTGTCTTATTAGCCCAACACACGGAAGATAAACTAATCCACTCTAACATGGTTCACTGTGTTAGCTTCTGCCTACTCTGGACAAACATTTTCCATTTGCCCATTGGCCACAGATCAGAGGGTCGAAAACATGGGAAATAACAGCCAGGAAAGGTCATCTCGGGAACTTTTCTCACATATTTTTCCTTTATATTAAACATAGGTTGTTATATGTGCAGCTAATGGCTTGAGTTATAAGGTGTTTGAACCAAAGTTAAGATCACAAAATAAAGGAAGACAGGAGTCTTTAGCTGACTCCTCAGTTTCCGAATTACAAGCAGCAATTCCCCACCGTATGTTTTTTTGAGCCTTTCCACCAGAAAACAGGCTTCCTCCTGGATCCGTTCCTCAATGCTTTTCTTCCCCATCCCAAAATTTCTGAGCGTGGTGAGGGCAAATCGGCGAAGCTGCTTCCACCGTTCCCCATTGCTGAATATAATGCCTGGAAAAGGGAGGAGAATAGGAAAGATGGGTGGGGGCAGACTCAATTTGCTAAATTTCTAACCTAGGGAAACATGGGTCATTGAAAGGTTCAACGTCAAGGCAAACATTATTGTATTTGTGTTCTACTGGAGACCCTGGATTACATTTTTTCTGTATGAAACTCAAAATCCCACACGTTAATCTCATTGCTGTTTATAGCAATTATGAACAAGAAAAATAATTCCATTGATTGCCATGCGCAATGGCTATATTTTGTTCTCTAACACAGTGTAAACTGTCACAGTAATTAGAGCAAAGTACATATGCTGGTACCATGTAAAAATAAGAAATACACTGGACATGAATAAGTGGCTATAGTGAGTATCCCTCAAAGAGCAGGACTAAATGAAACACCAACAGTCTTCTCAGTCGTGTTCTCCACATACAGAGAACATCAGCGCTACATGCTGAAGTTGTTAGCAATGTACCTGCTCCTTTGGCAAGCTTGTCAACCAGTGCTAGTTTTCCTCTTCCACTGAACTCATCCCCTTGATCAATCAGAGCTTCCTTCACAGCCTCCTGTCCATACAGCACCACAACCCGCTGTGAGCCTAAGCATATTGTGAAAACCGGGCCATACTTTGCACTGAGCTGTAAAAGATTAACACAAAGGACCAATACGTTTTTACTAAATCCACTTAAGAATAAGAAGGAGAGTGGATCTAATTACAAACTGATGGAAGAGCTCTCCTGCCACCAAGGACTACACTCAAAAAGGGATATAAACACCTAGATGAAAAATGTTGCTCCTCAAAACCCTCAGCTAATCCTCTAGGCCAGCAGTTCTCAAAGTCATTTGATCGCGCCCCCCTTCTTTGTGTCTGTAGTCATTTACGGCCACCCCCACCCCACAAGTACATATACCGCCCCCCAGCTCTGAAGGCGAAGCAGAGCAGCAGAAGCTGCTGGCTCGGTGCCCAGCTCTGAAGGCAGCACCATGCCAGAAGCAGCACAGAAGTAAGGGTGGCAATGTGAAGTGACATTCATCAATATAGTCCCTAAGACTTAGCACCACATTGGCACCCTTACTTCTGCGCTGCTACTGTCACCCCAGAGCTAACAGCCAGAACCCCACCTCTTCCCAGTGAGGGATTGGCAGGGGGGCAGGAAGGAGACCCCAAGCCCTGGTGGCAGAGCTCTGGCTGTCAGCCCCGGTGGCGGAGTTCTATCTGTCCCCTTTATCCTTGCCTCCAGGGTGTGCAGGACCCTTTGGCACGAGCCCAGCCACCCAAGACTGACAGCCAGAGCTCTTTAAAAAACAAAACAAACAAAAAAAACCCCACCCAACTCACACCTCCTTTGACCCATTCCCATGCCTCCCTTGTGTGGTCCGCCACATGGTTTGAGAACCACAACTTAGTGGGAATGGTACTCACCTAGGATGTGGGAGAGCTGGGTTTAATTCCCCCCCATACCTGATGTAAAGAAGGGATCAAACTGGGTCTCTCCTCTCTTTGGAGAATGCCCTAAACCACCACGCTGTGGGTCATTCTGGAAAGGGGCTCTCTGTCTTTCCCGTTGAAGCCATTCCATTGCATATAAATAACTGAATAGTCATTGAGAAAGAAACTTGGGTCTCCCACATCCTGGGTGAGCGACCTAACCACAAGGATACAGAGTTAGTCTCATTCTCTCTGTAGCCCAATGACTATGTTAACTTGACAGAATACAGCAACAGTGTAGGCCTTACCCTTGTTCTGCGAAGAAGGCAAGTATCATTAGATCAGTTTTACAAGTGGGAAACATACAAAGAACTTCAGTGGTTTCCCCAGGCACACACATGGAATCATTTGCAGAGCTGGGACCAGAACCAAAGCCTGCTGTCTGCCAGTTTACTGCTTAACCCACCAGACCACACTCCCCACTGCAGGATAACCTGTACAGGCTGCAGCACAACTGAGAGGGCATAGTCTGGTTTACCTGTGAATAAGACACATTATCATAAAAATAACACATTGCCAGGAACAGGTTGTATCTAGCATTCAAGATTAAATATTTCTGTGGAAAAAATATTCAACCTTAAACATGAGGAGTTGAGCCACTGCGCAAACCCCAGAAATTTCAGAGTTCTCTTTCCACAGTCTCTGCTTAAAACCCACCTGAGCCAAAGCCCTGGTTAAGGAGAAAGCCCCCTTACCTCATGTATAGACTGGGGCAAGTTCCTCATATTCAGCTGCAGCGTGTTCCCTATGATGGGAAAAGCAACAGGGCCAGGTGGCAGCTTCCCATTTCCAGACACCTTTCTCCATGCTGAAAGGAAAAGAAGGCAAGAGACACAAATCACCAGGAAAACACTTGTTGCTCCCAGAGGTTCCATTGCAGAGTGTAACAATTATTCCAGGTTCTGGCAGGGGGTTACTTTATACTTCAGCTTTTAGATATTGTATGGTGCAAAATTCCAATTGCAAGTGCAAGCAATTAGCCAATAGGGTCTTAGTTCTTCTGGGTCAACAACACTAAGTATGGTCTAAAAAAGGTTACTGGACAACTCCTTTGAATCTTTGTTTGCATATCATCTGTGTTTGCCCCTTGTGTACTCGCTGACAGAGCACAAAAATTAATCATTAAGTGAATCCCTCTAAGTCATGTGACTGTTGTACCCGACCCCGAGAGGCTTGGTGCCAGCTGGAACACTACATACATACAGTGGTGATTGCCTTTCGTGCTGTTATACGGGCTTTAGACTAAGGCTGGATGAACAGCATACAGTTGAGATAAGTTGGGCTGGTTCGCACCTCCTCCCCTCTTCCCTGCCAGCCCCTCTATGAGCTGGCCTTTCCCCTTGTTGCCCCCCACCCTCATGCCCACTGGATAACCTGAGGCACAGGTGTGAAGACTGAAGAGTCTAACGTGCCACTGCCTGAGACAGGTGCTAAGTGCCCAGGTGAAGAAACCTGCAACCGCCAGAAGGAGGGGCAGGAGCTGTCACCACCAGGGTCCTTTTCCTGGGGGAGGGCCAGGAGCAGCCCCACAGCACCCCTTGCAGCCCAGGACAGAGAGAATAAAGCCCAGCATTGCCACAGGGCCTGCAGCAGCAGCCACGGAAAGGTGAGTCCACCAGAGCCCTGGATGTGAGACACCTGCCCCCCTCCCCGTGTTAACCCCAGCTCTGTGGGAGATATTTTCCCACTATCACTGTCCTTTCTGGGTCTCCACCAGCGAGGGCTACTTTAATTTCCTAAGTAATCTCTCCTGGGTGAAATTCACCCCTACTCTAGCTGGCTGGGTGTTCAGATGTGCCCACCATGGTTATGTTGAGTGCAGAGGAGGGTGGGGTGCCACCAGTGGTGGACAGAACTTGAGAGAAACCCTTCTCCCAGGAATTCAAGGGGCTGGTTTTGGCCTCTAAAGGCCGAGGTGGTAACACAAGAGTCCCGCCTTTCTCCCTCACTATTCACCTGTGGCTTAGGTCAATGGAGGCTCTGCCTGAAATGCCATAATATAACTGGGATGGCCTGACAAGGGCCTTCTCTGCGCACCTTTTACTGTCCCAAATGAAGGGACTTCCCTTGGGATACAATTCCACCGTCTTTTCAGAATTGTTGCATGAGATTCAGCCAAAATTTTACTGGGCTCTATTTCTTCTCATGGTTAATCAAGAGCTGCACTCTCTCCTTGATGGTTAACCCTTCAGTTATTTGTAAATCAACATACTAGATTCATCATAATACACAACACAAATAAAGATGGTTACAATAAAGGGAGAGGAGGGGAAACAATATACCTTCGTTAATCACACACCTGTAAAAAGTCAGCCCAACTTGCTTTGAATTTTTCAGGCATTCTGTTTCTGCCACAGGCCAGTCATTCGTTAGCTACGAGGTCTACCATATCACCGAGTCAGACACCAATATTTGGCTAGGATTAACCTTTCCATTTTTGCAGGATTAATTTTTAGCAACCAAAGCTGCACATTGGAACCACACCAGGTATCAGGAATATATTCAAGAATGAAACTTGAGGGGGAGGGCTCCAAGTTAGCATCCAATATCAAATTGATCCTTTGGCCCACCTCATACCAGAAATACTTGATACAGTGGCACTCCCAAAATATATGAGTGAACACCAAGGGAGTTACATTTCCAACAGCGGTCAGCGTTTGTGAGAGACATTACCATTAGCCTATTTGGGGACCAGTACATTCAAAAAAGTGACTTTTGGTGAATAAACTGTAGTCTCAGGGCTATAGTTGCTTTTTTAACATTAGATACAATTGTATTCCATTGGATTGGATTGTCATGTATCCAAATATTTATTCCAAGCAACTCTCAAATTATCAATCATTGGCAGAGATTTTGGGGCCAGAAAATCATAAAAGGATACCACTGGCCAAGTAAATCCAGGAAGTTTCCTCCAAAATAACAAAAAAATTGGAGGTTCTGGAGCTCCCAAGGCATTCAATCCAAATACATTTGTAAGTAAATGTTTTAACTGGAGATCTTTCCATGCTCCAGAGCAGGGCAAGCGAAATTGCTGCTGAAGATCTATACATGGTTTAAACTTATCATTGTGAATTAGGGGCTGCCAAGCTGTCCTGCAGTAGCTCAAGAGTGTGAGTACCAACCTCAGGGCAGGCTGTTAAGAACTAGGGCAGAAATCCCAAATTGACAGAGTTCTCCAACCAAGCATAAACTCCTCAGGCACTGTAACAGCCTAACCATGGAGTCACAGACAGTCCCTTGGGGTATGCCAATCTATATGGTCACCAAGGTAAGCTTGCCTTTGTGATAGATGGTCCCTCACAACAAGGGACCAGTTAGTTAGGACCACAAGGACCAGTTAGTTACCCTGGATCAGCTGCACCTTTGATCTCACACCAAAGACAACACTTGCAGCCAATCCTCTAATAAGTGATCTAAAGATTTATTAGCTAAGAAAAGGAAATGAGAGTTATTTACAAGGTTAAAGCAGGTAAACATACACACGAGTTACAGTAGTCTTAAGTTTCAAAGTAATAGAAGCTTGTACAATAAGGAAGCTCTATAGGTCTCTTAGAGCTAACCCAGGCTAAGCACTGGGGATCATTTGCTTGTGTTTAGTAATCCTTGCCCCTCAGAGTCCAAGCGGGATAAAGATACAGTTTCTCCTTGTCAGATATTTTTAGACTTGTGTCCTCTGATGTTCCACTACGGTCCGCCTGGTGTTGATGGACTTTCTTGGTCAGGCAGGAGAGTTAAGGCAATAGGAAATAAATTGAAAATAGCCCTTTAAGCCTTCAACCCGAATGAAAGAGAAAAAAAAGAAAAGAAAAGCAACTATCATATCAGTATCAACTCGTACCCATCAACATCTTTAGAGCAGCCATATCAGATATCAGAGAGTAGTACATAAATTCCATATGGTTGGATCATTCCATAGGGATCTCCTCTTGTAAGGTAAGTGTGCAGATTTTTGAGGTATTTTTCTGTTTGAAGGGAACTAATTGACACTATCTTCTTGCCATTCTTAACATGGAGCGTTGCTGGGTATTTAATAAAATATTTCAAGTCCATCTTTCTGGCCAATTGTTTGCTTGGTTAAAAGCAGCCTTCATTGCAACCACATCATGGGCATAATCTTGAAAGTGTAGTACTCTCATTGCTGGTTCTCCTGATAGGTGGGTGAGGTCAGCTTTTACTGGTAGAAGGCATAAGCTTTCGAGCTACACAGGGCTCTTCCTCAGGCCCAGGGAAGGAAGTGGAGTCTGGGGGCTGTGCAGAAGAAGCCTGGCTTCTCATTGATCCACTGGACTGCTTCAGTAGCTCGCTCCATGCAGGAATCTCCCTACTGTCCCAAGTATGGGTTTCTACTGTCTAGTTCAGGGGTTCTCAAACTGGCGGTCATGACCGCTCATGGGGGTCATGAGCTGTCAGCCCCATGTGGCTGATAGCCCTGAGCCCCCATTAAATTACCCCCTCTCCTGCTTTTCATTTATGGGGTGGGGGAGAACAGTCAAAGGCTTGCTGTGTGAAAGGGGTCACCAATACAAAAAGTTTGAAACCACTGGTCTAGCTCCTTCTGTCCTCACCCCCAACCCAACTTGCAGCATGCTGGCAATGGGGTCAGAGGACTCTGGCAGCCATCTTAGACCTCAAGAGATCAAACACCATGAATCAGACACCCAAAACCCACGAGTTTGACACTAAAACTCATGAGATTTTTCTAACAGCTTATACTGTGGGGTGGGTTTTCTGTCTGTCTATTAATTGTTGAATTGCCCCTATCCCTCCCCAGTGTGTGTGTGTCCATCACAATCAGTGTTGGGGTGAGGTGATTTTGGCCCTCGCTGCAGGAGCACTCACCCCACTTCTGCCTTGCCCCTGCTCAGCAATTAATTCTGCCCCTGCTGGGGGGAGGGGCTGGGACAGATTTGGGTTCAGACCCATCATCCATTGCATTTGGGAGGCAGTTGGTACATTCCCTGCCTCTCGGCTGGTGACTCAGCTCCGCTCCCTCTTTGCTCGGCTCCTGCACTGCTCTCCCCTCTGTGCACTCTCACAGTGCTGGGATGGGGCTCAGTATTGCCAGGGCCTGGGGAGATGCCAGGCTCAGACAATCACTACTCATCATCCAACCACCATCCAGTATCCAACCATCGTCCAATCACTGCCCATCATGCAACCATTAGCCCAGCCTCCAGAGATCTGGTGAAGGCTTCAGGAACAAACCAACATACGGAAGGAGAGAGCAGGGGTGCTGGAACCATTTTTATAGTGGTGGTGCTGAGAGCCATTGAACCAAACTATAAACCCTGTATAGTATGGAAACCACTTCAAGCCAGGGGGTTCTGCAGCACCCCTAGTTTCAACACCTATGGGAGAAAGAGAGCCTCTGCAACTCCCCAGCCCATCCTATGCATCACACCAGGATCTCCACAGTACTGCATGCTGCAGCCCTACCCTGACATGCTTCGCTTACCTCCAAATGCCCCACCACTGGGGGGAGCAGGCTGGGGGCTTCGTCAGGCCTTTCCCTCCTCTCCCCTTCCCCGTGGTGCTTTGGGTGGAGGTAGGCAGGAGCCTAAGCTGTTTTTGCAGGAAACAGCTTAGGTGACTAAGCTGTCTGACTCCAGGAGAAGGGTCACTGGCAGTGGATCGAAAGCAGAAACAGGTGCGCTTCATTGCGGGTAATACCGCCTGGAAAAGGGAGGTGAACAGGAATGAAAGGAGGGAGGCTCAGACGCCGTTTGCCTAATTTCAAGCCCACCCAAATATTGTCGATTCAAAGATTCAACTTGATCTCAAACTTCATTGTACTGATGTTCTTTTTGG